CAAAAATTCGTTAGGTCAGAAAACCACAGATGGCAGCAGAGAGAGAGAAAGAGGAATAGGACAAAACAGTTTGTTATCCAGCTGGAAGCAAGGATGACTAGTCATATGAGAAACGGATGACTAGTCATCATTTTATGAAGACTGTTTAATGTAATGATATGCAATGCACAATACCTTTGTTAACTTGCATGAGCTACCATAGAGCAAAGATTAGAGAAGAGCACCAATAAAAGTTTTCCCTAATCTAGACTTGAGCTTGATAAATTACATTACACATCCTATTACAAAGTTGTCAAGGGAAACCAAAAGAAAATAGTAAAAACCATACATTAATGTTTGACTTCAATCTCCTGATTCTTTTTAAGCTCATGTGGGTAGAAGAACTCACCCTGCACAAGATTTTTCTTATCTTTGAATTATTTGGTTTTCAGGCACCTAAGGCTTAAAATAACTTATATTCTTTGAAAATTTTTATAGGAACTAGTTGTGGAGGAGGTAATGGGTGGAACGCACCAAGTTAATTAAATAAAAAGAAGGCTTAAATGTCAAAATGGTCCTTATATTTTACCTTATCGGCCAATTTAATTCCCCTGTTATCAATTTGGTCAATTTAGTTCATATGTTTATATATATATTAACAAAATTTGATCCTTTTTGTCAAAATTCCGTTAAAACTGAAGAATTTTTTTTTAAATTAAATTAAAAAACGGTAATTAATTATTAAATATTTAAATTCAATCTAGAAATGGAATTAAAAAAAAAAAAAATTTTGCCTCCCCCAATTTCACACTCAGATCCCAACCCCACCTAAACCACCATTTTTTTCTCTCATGCCTTCCTCTCCGGCAAACTGCAAAAAACTTCGTAGCCAATCATTGCAACCTTCTTGGCTCTGCCAGGTCATCATCCTTGTTGTAGTAAAAGTCGGCGGCATTCACATAAACATGCACATTCAGTGGTGGAGCAAGGAATCGAAACACAAGGGGCCTTAGTGTAAAAGTCCCAAAGAAAAAAAATTAGGATGGAATCAACATATATATTCTACATATGCAAAAAAATGGAAATAAAAACTCACATTGTTATTGGAAATTAGTGCGATAAACATCTCTAAGAATCTAATACTTCACTTACGCACTAAACACATAAATTTGAGACATCATTTTATTCGAGATCACATAGAAAAGGGAGGGAGGAGAGAGGAGAGAGGAGATTATGTAGTTACCCTAAATTCCTTAATTAAACTGCTGCCTAAGTTTTATTTAAAAAAAAAAAAAAAAGAATGGCATGCACAGGCTGAGGCGCAAGAGTGGCAGAAGTTGCAGCTTCGGATATATATTAAAGTGTAAACTTTGTTATTACTAGGGGCAAGAATGCTTTGTGATGGTCCAGAGGCCAATAGATAGCAATTTGCCATTTTTCTTTGACTTCAATTACAGTGTCTCACAGGCGGACTCAGAATTTTTTTAGCGGATGTGCTATATTGACTAAGTATGAAAAATGATTTTTCGGAATAATCATTTTCTCAAGATAATTTTTAACGGCTTTTGTTCCTTACACATCACATAAGAAAACTTGATTTTATGGGATTTTAGTATGAAGTATATATTGACTTAATGAGCCATCATTTTTAGCCTAAATCGTATTTTGCACTAAAACCGAATTTTCATATTTTGATTTGGTGGGAATTTGATTTTCTAGTATTTTTATTTGAATTCAAATGGCGCGTACTTCCTTATTTACATTGTAAACTTAAGTAAATGGAGTAATATAAAAATAAATAAAAGTAAAAGGACAAAGACATTTACTTAAATGTTGAAAATGGAAATAAGGACAGATTGGAGAAGCAGTGGCGCGCGCTAGCCTTCTTCTTCAAGAGGTCGCACCAGCAGCTCCAATGGACCTCTAAGCCTATTTCCATGACTTCCAAGAGGTCATGCGACCCCAATGACCCCACTGTGGCTTCCCCACTGTGCACACTGCAGATTCCATAGCCCACTAGAACCCTCGTTATTGTTCGCACCAAGACCACCCACGTCTTCTTGTATTCGGTTGAAAAGGTGGGTCTAGGTTGCGTGCTGGTGGTGGAGAAGGAAGGTGATTGCAGCAAGAAAATAACTCAATAACTTTCTTTTGCTACAGAATGCAAGAACATGACTTTTAATAATTAAATTTGTATTATTATTTGAATTTGAATATTTATAAAAAAAATTCCTTAATTTTTAACAGAATTTTGACGGAAAAGACCACATTTACTAAAATATACAAATACATGGATTAAATTAGCCAAATTGATAACACAAGAACTAAGAGTTAAAACAAATGAACCATTTCAACATTTAAGCCTAAAAAAAACATTTTGATCATGTGCGCTGCTTTCGCAAGAGATAAAGAAAACCTCTTTTTCTACAACCTAGTGATTTATAATAAAATATTATTTATCTTACTATTTCTATTGCTTGCTGCCATAGGCCTTATATTTTTATATTGTAATAGAGGTGAAACGCGTCACTCAATGACTTTCAGTATGGGCAGTAGCCAAAAATATTTGAAATTAATTTATGCATATGTTCAGTGCTCAAATTTAAGGGATGAAGCCACGTGAAGACCCACGTGAAATGGAGAAGCAACGTCTGCGTACAATTACAAAGCAAACCATCAAAAGCAAAAGGAAGCATCCAATGCAAATTAATTAAAGAAAGTAGTAGAAACCGTGCGAATGCCAGTCTTCATTCTTAAAAGCCACCATGCCAAGCATATAAAAAGTAAAATCTAATAGTAAAGATTGTTAGCTAGGTAACAATATCAATTTACGGTGCCTAATACATTAATTAGAACTAATCGTTAATTTTTTTGATACTCTAACGATAATATCGATAATTAGGGGTGTATCCAATTCAAACTTTTAATGAATTGTATAGAGTATAAATGTCTGGATGTATTCAATTTAGATTTTAAAGAGTTTATAAAAGTCTAGTAGTATTCAATTTTGACTTTTAAAAAGTAGTTAAAAGTTTGGTGGTATCCAGTATGACTTTTAAGAAGTCATTAAGAGTTTAGTGGTATCCAAAAAGTTAATGACTTTTAAAAAAACTTATAAAATGACTGACTTTTTTATACTTTTAAGGCTAATTGTTAAGAGCAAAAATCTTGCTAATTTACTAGTGACTTTTATAAACTCTATCAAAATATTTAAGAATTTGTCAACTCTATGAAAGTTACTCACTTCAAAAAAGTCTTTATAAGTATGAATTGGATACACCTAGTATTGAATTCGTAATATATCAGGTACTATAAATTTATATTCCGTATTTTTACCCAAAAAAAAATTTATATTCTTTATCAGGCGGTAAGTAGCTATATAGCCATATTTTCGAGTAAATATTATATGAGCATTGAAGATAATTAACATTTATTCTCTTTGTACTTTAGTAGTTGGGATTGTATCTGGTCCTGATTTTGCATATATATTATTTGGTAAAGTCTTCTGAAAAAGCACAAATCATCAAAGTTTGTGGACATGAGAGAGAGATTACTGTGGCTGGATTGTCAACAAAGTGTGAATGGCTTTTCTTCATGGTCCTTTGGCTTCATCTTCTACCTTCTGCGTTGGTCACATTCATGTAATCTTATAAAGGAAGCCACGTACCACAAAGGCTACCACGTACCACAAAGGCTACCAAAGGCTGAGTTGGAATCCCATTCTAACTATGGATTCTTGTGGTTTCAGAGGATTTAGTTACATGAGAACTAGGAACGGAGAACTTTCCCTCCTTTCAACCTGACTCTTTGGTCTTAAGAATGTTGGTTTTAAGAATGAGTGATTGCCCTTCTCTGTCCCTTACTATCCAACCTAAAGCAGACAGCTAATACGGTCCACTTATTGATAACTATTGTAGATTAATCTATATTAAATTGACTTGTATTAATATGACTTTATACACAATACTAGATCAGATTCAGAAACTTTAATTATTTTGACCACAAAAGGAAGCAGTATAGGTCCTACCTGTGCATTTTTTCCTACCTAAACCCTAAACACCTTTTGTTTTTGTGATCATCTAAAAATGCTAAATTAAGAATGAAAACAGACAATTAATTAAAGGACTCTCACGATCACTCTACAATACTGTGACCTGAATACTGAATCAGCAGCTTAAGTTTCAGCCCATTTGCCACATACCTTGAAAATATCCCATCCAATTTCATACAACTAATCACACAAAAAACAACTTCTTTTGACTTGATCGCACAAGACAGCTTAGGGCCCGTTTGATAACCATTTTAATTTTAGTTTTTAGTTTATATTTTTTGTGTTAGAGTATACAGGAAAAAGAAGGAGAATGCAAGTGAGAATGAGAGTGAAGATGAGATTGAGAGAGAAGATAAAAGGGGAGGATAAGAGGAAGGAGTGACAAAAGCGAAAACAAAACAAAAAACTGGAATATATTTGAAATTGTTTTCACTTTCAAGTTTTTATTCACTTTTGTTCCTCCTCCCTCCCATATCCTCCCTTTTCATCATCTCCCTCATCTCAATCCTCACTCCCACTCTCATTTTCCTCTAACACTCTAGCACAAAAAATGAAAACCAAAAACTAAAATTGAAATGATTATCAAATAGCCCTTAGCTTTTGCGTTCCCACCTTTAAGAAAAGCCTACTTAATACGTAGTCCTATCAAAAGCAGGAAAAAAAAGCATTGCTTGATAAAGTCCAAAACCAAAAGATTAAAAATAGGGGTTGAGTTTGGCACTTTAGCCTTTAATCATACTTATCTTCTGATTTGAAAAAAAAAAATCACAAATTCTTCTCTTCTCTCTCCTTATCTTTCCAACCCCACTGATATCTCAGAAAGGTCTATAAATAGGGAGAACCAAGCCACATTATACTCACTCAGCAATCATCTCTTGCATACTTTCATATATACATTATCGTGCTTGTTGTTAAGCAAAACATGGCATCCTCAAAGGCTTTTCTTCTTCTTGGTCTTGTCTTTGCTGTTCTCCTCATCTCCTCTGAGGTCTCAGCTACTCCAACTCGTGAGTTTCTCACTTTCTTATCTAAATCATATATATAAAATTAGTAATTGTATCTTTCTTTCCAGTAACGATTTGTGAATATAGGCACATTTTAATTAAGGTGCACTGGTCGTGAAAATGATTATGCTTCGAATTTGTACTAGATATATATAGCATTTGTGCTCCAAAATATATTAATTATGAGAATATCTGGATGTAATTTACTCTTTCTGCATGGAGGGCTAGTGGTTGTTGTAATTGCATGGCTTAATCTATGATGGTTAAGTGATATTTATTTTAGAGACTAATGCTATTTGTATCATATTTATTGACCACATTGTTGATCACCTCTCTAATATAGATAGGCAGCACATATATACTGGTGGGTTCACCTTTATTAGAGAGGTGGTCAGCAATGTGGTCAGTAAATGTGGTCCAAATAGCAACACTCTATTTTTTTCTACATATTTTCTTGGGTGTTGATTTTTCCACTCCCTTTTTGGTTTTTTTAATGCTTTTTACTTTAACATACAAGAGAGTGTAAGTTGACATAAGATGAGTGAGAACATACAATTTCTAAATCAGCTCTCTCTCTCTCTCTCTCTCTCTCTCTATATATATATATAAATATAAAGTTTTTGTTTGTTCTATCAGAGGAGAGTGCCGTCAACTATGGTGACAATTTTCTTGATGACCACGAGCATGGGCATGGGCATGGGCATGACCACAGGCATGTCCATGGCCATGGGCATGACCACAGGCACGTCCACGGGCATGGACGACATGGCCACGGCCACCACGGCAAAGGGGGACCTGGTGCTGCTGAGACTGAAACCGAGAATTAGATAACCTGTTAGTTTCTGTGACTTATGTTGCAGGTGTATCGTAAGGGTAGTAGTATGCAATAAAGTTGTAATGGTTTGAGTAATATCTATAAACTCTCGATCATAGGTTCGCCTTAAGCCTGTTCTTGTGTCTCTGTCATGTACGGATTGGATCACCTTGTTATGTACTAAAATGTGATTTAACTTGCTGACTACATATTATGTCAAAAATGTCTACTATGACTTGGCTACTTAAAATTGAGGAGGACATCCTCACAACAAATGAGATTTTGAAACTTGTTAAACTTCAAAAGAAAAAATAATTAAGGGAATTCCAAAGAAAAAAAATTAAAGGAACTTGCCAAGTTTCAAAAGTCTATTTGTTTTGAGGACGAACTCCTCCTCAGTTTTAAGGAGTGTAAGTTTTTTCCTAATATTAATGGAGTTTCATAGATGACTCATTTGTTTTGTGTGATCACCATTTGGTTAATGAGTTGTGCACCTAATCTAATGAAGTGATTTACGATTGATTTTATGTGAACATTGGAAGCCAGAGTAGTGTTTCCAACGTTGACAAGGGATTGGAAGATCTAGCTTGATGGAAAAATAACGAGGAGCAAGCCTCTATAGGGCATCTTATAAAGGTAAAAAGAATCCCAAACAAGCATGAAAAGCATCTGATGGGAGAGAATATATCCAAACATGTGTTTCCTATGCCATGGCCTTGAACCGCCATTGCATCTGCCATAAAATTAGCTTCTCGAATAACATGATTAAAGAAAATATATACTCAAAGGAGCATGCCAATCTTAGAATGTTCTTATGATAGTGTGAAGGCATCAAAAAATTTCAGACTTGGCGTTTATGGCATCAATTAGTGTCTGGAAATCACCTTCAACTTCTAGTCTTCTCTTCTGTCTGCTGGCAACAAAGGATAAACAATCTTAGCAGTAAGCACACAAGTGTCTACAGTATTTCGAGCTCATGAAAAGAGAGGGTTCCCATACAAATAATAAACCTCGACGTTCCCTGACTAGCTTTGAGCCCCAAACCATCAAAGTTGAGCTTATAGAAAGTGGGGGAAGGTGGTTTCCATTTACTGAGGGGATGCTCCTGTCTAGCATGGCGAGTCCCTTGGCCAATGGCTCTATAAAAAGCCACACCAACATGTCTCGCAGTATGTATGACTTTGATGAGCGGGTGGAGTTGGAGTTGCTTGAAAATCCATTTATTTATGCATATCCCAAAGTTGTAACAGATAATAAGTACTTAAATTATGGTTGAAAGGTATTAGCCAAACTTCGAAACATGGAAGCCTAGAATCCAAGCTAGCAAATCATTAGAAGTGTTTGGTCTCAAATTAGGAGGGCATGGTTCCACACTTGAGAAGAAGGAAAAAGGCTGTTGTTTATACCATAGTCAACCGATCTCATTCGCCAATGGACACGACACTGAAAACCACACATGCCAAAGGCTTAACCATCATAATCGACCGAAGTCTTAAGATGAAGAGAAGAACAAAGAAATGAATAACAAGAAGATGAAGCAGAGAGACAATCTTAGGAGAAGAAATAGATTTTCTGTATTTCGTTCATCGCTACAGTAGCCTTAGCTAATATCTCACTTCTATGACTATCCTAACAGCCTTGTAACAATACTTAACAGCTCACTAACAAACTTCAAGGCTGGCCCTGAGATTTTTAAGGCCCAGGGCAACATCGAAAATAGACCCTATGTATGTATGTATAGCTCCACACAAGAAAGATCATTTGATTTTATTTGCACGTGTGTGTATATGAAACCTTTTATAACCATGTAAATTTTTTTTAGGGCTCCGACAAAGTGTCATTTAATTTTTGTATATAAGAAATGATTGAAGATCCTATGTATCTATAGCTCAACACACAAGAAAAATAATTTGATTTTATTTGCTCGTGTTTAGAATATTAAAAAATAGAACTTTTATAACCACAGAAAAAACTTTAGGCCTCTGACAAAATGTTATTTATTTTTTATATATAAGAAATGATTGAAGACAAAAAAAAAGTACTAAAAAGAACCATGCACTCGCATAAAAAAGAGGCACAATGATATAACTAGTTACCAAAATATGACCACATAGAAAAATTAAAAAAATTTGGGGCCCTCCCTTGAGCCAAGGCCCAGGGTGGTCACACTGACTACCCTGGCTCTGGGCAGGGGCTAACAAGCTTAATAGCTCACTAACAATATTCTAATAACTCACTCCTTAATATGCTGACACTTGGCACTATCATCATGGATACTCTTGCCCTAAGAACGTCCTTTTGACTGCAATAACCACGCAAGCCCTCGACCAGGATTGTTGATGGAACACCCTACCAATTGGCGAGGCACAATCCGCCATTGCTGAACGACAGTAAGGACCATCAAAAAATCTGAATGTGCTTCTCAACCACTAGGCATCCTACTTGCTGAAGAAGGATCTGAACAAGGCTGTCGTATCAACTTTAGGACACATGTCATCACCACAACGATTGACAGGAAGTCCCACATTGAAGAAAATGTGCAAATATTCGCTGCCCATTTGTCTATACACTATTCCCAAAATGGAAGATAATTAATCAATACTAGCCATTACTCTGTCAAAATCATTTCAGACTTCGCATTTAGCTAACTTAAGTATTGGAGAGCCTTCGGTCGGTACCAACTCGGTGCCAATATTTCACCAATCATCTTCCTCATAGGTCATCCTACACTTGCCGAAGGCTGCATAAGGAAAAGTTTTTGAAGATCAGCTCCCTTTAGAGTTGCGTCCAATTTTGGACGTCAACAACAATTTATGAAGAGGGTCGAAAGATTCAGTTTTTGTCTCACATAAAGCACACATTAGATTTGCATGAGGTAAGAAGACACTTTAGTAAGTTCTAGTGTTTAAATGATGTTTCACATAAAGCACACATTAGATTTGCATGGGGATTATTTGAGCTGGTGATTACTTTTACTTGTAAGAATCCTCTTGACTTAGTGGATTGCCTGGTTGGAGGAATAACCTCCAGTTTTTTTTTTTTTTTTCCAAAGATGGGTTTTTGAGTGAACCGTGTTGATCTGAGTACTATGACTAGTCATATTATATATGTTATCCTTGTAATGTTGATGAATTTTCACACACCTCTCACTTTAGTTGTTGCTAGCACATGAGATGACTAGATTGACAGGTCCTTTTTAGTGCCTAGATTGGCAGGATCTCTCACTTTAATCATCTTCTAAGTTTGCATGGATTTGAATATTGATTGATAAGTGAATGTGTCTCTTCTGTTATGTGTTCTTAGATCTATGACTACTAGTTGACTAGTCATATTTTCTAGGATTACTTTGTTGGTCTAATCTGTGGTCTATTTGATTAGCATTTAAATTTATACAAATTTATAAATAAACCCAATCCTAGACATGTATTTATAAAAAAACCCAAACACTATTTAAATATAGAAACACACCCAAAATCAACCCCAAAGTCAACAATTGTATATTTTTTGGGTGTGTTTATAAATGGGTTTCTCTTTTTTGTAATGACTTTGGGTGGGCTTTGGAGTTTCCAAATTTTTTAGAGCGAATGTTGTAAGGATAGGACAGCCGAAAAAATTCAACTATATTCTAATGCAAATGATATTGAAATGCGGACCTGAAGAATTGTAAACTAGTGTGATGGGTTAAGTGATACAATCCCTCGAGTCAAACAGAGAGAAAATGTTTACCATTTGTTTGTTTGTAATACAATTTTATTTATCACTCCTCTTTCTCAGCCCAAATGTATGAAATATTATCTTTAATATCTAATCAATTGAAATATTATCTTTCATAATCACCCAACAATTTGATATGCATCTTAAGATGCTAGCTATCAATCACGCTATCTAACCAACTTTTGACTTAGCTATTCGTCATTTTCATAATCAATCGTATAACCACACTCAAACCAAACTCTATTGACTTTAGTTATTGCTCCTTACATTTTGCGCATAAGGAAAGAGTCATCTACACCAATCTGACCACATTACTAATCACATCTTGCACACAAACAAAACTCATATGAAATTTTGCTGATCACTAACTTAATACGTAGTCTTATCAACCTATCAAAATCAGACAAAGCATCTTGATATAAACTAGGTTCTGCCTTTTTCTTTTGGTGAAAAAAAAACCTTAAAGGTCTATAAATAGAGAGCCAAGTGCCACATTATGTTCACTCAGCAGAAATCATCTACCCTTCATACATTATTTTTGTGTTCACCTTGTGTTGATTACCATATGGCATCTTCGAAAACTTTTCTTCTTCTTGGTCTTGTCTTTGCTGTTGTCCTCGTCTCCTCTGAGGTCGTCTCAGCTCGCGAGCTGGTTCCGACTACTGCTCAAACCCGTCAGTTTCTTTCTCAAATAAATCTTTTGTTTTTTTTTATTCTAGTATGGATTCGTAAACTTTTCGAGGCACATTCTATATGTGGTGCAGGATAGATCATGACAATTTTTAATGATACGAATTCATTTGTATTTATATATGTGACTTGTAAAGAAATGAATGGTTAAGATTCCTTTAGCTAAATGATGTACCTGCATGGCTTAATTTGCAACTTTTTGACATATATAACGTTTTTCTTTTTATGTTCTTTTTCTTTTTCTTTTTCTTTTCTCTTTCAGAGGAACATGTGGAGAAGGATAACTATGGTGACCATTTTCACTGCCACGAGCATGGACTTTGGGAGCATGGCCACGGACATTGGGAGCACGGCCATTGCCATGGACACTGGGAGCATTGTGGCCATGGCTGCCACGGAAAATGGGGACATGGTGCTGCTGAGAGTGAAATAGAGAATTAGATATAACCCTATAATTTGCCTGTGGTAATATATGTTGCAGGCATGTTATAAGGTTCATAAATAAATCTTTGTTTGCCAATAAAGCAGCATTAATTGGTTGAGTAGATCCATATAACTCCCAATCACAGCTGGTTTTTAGGGTTTGTTGATCCTCTTATATATTCTCTGTAATATGTACGCCTTAGAGTTGCTACAATGCGCTTTGATTTGCTAAGTTGAAGTTGTGTCAAAAGTGTACTGTTGAACTTTGGAATCTATCCTTGTAAATAAATAAATTTAAAGTTTCTTTTTTAATTACTGTGTTCCATTGAATTGAAGTGCGTCAAATAGAAGTATATACCATAAACTCTCTATGCGTGGTT